CTGGATCAAGAGGAACCCGCTGCCCAATGGGCGCTCCAAGTGGAGCACCTTTAACAGCATCTGGGACCAGAACCAGGCCATCATGAAGCATCTCCTAGGTGGGCACTGGAGGGGTCATGGCCACCGCGGGGGTGATCTCCAGGCGCAGGCGGGCAGAGCCCTGGCGTCCCCGGGGCTGACCCGCAGCCTCCCGCAGAGAATGCCACCTTCAACTCCAGCAGCGAGGCAGAGAGGAAGACGCAGCGGTACTACCTGTCCTGCCTCAAGGAGCAGAGGATAGAGGAGCTGGGCTCCCAGCCCCTCATGGAGCTCCTCGACAAGGTGGGCGGACATCCATAAGCGAGCCAAGCTGTCGGGGCTCAGCCCAGCACATCTCCCACTCGGCTTTTCACATAACTGGGGAGGGGGCAGCCCTCAGGGACGGACCCTACCCCTCCTTGAGGCACCGGGTCCATCTACCAGCAGATTGGGGGGTGGAATGTCACCGGCTCCTGGAACCAGACCAGCTTCATGGAGGTCCTCAAGATGGTGTCGGGCACATACCGGGCAACACCCTTCTTCACGGTGTACGTGGGTGCAGACTCCAAAAGCTCCAACAGCAATGTCATCCAGGTTGGCACCTCAGCACCGAGGGGTGGTGGGCACCAGGGGCCACCAGCGGGCACCAGGCTGCCTGTGCCGCTCCTCTCTCCTCCCAGGTAGACCAGTCGGGGCTTTTCCTGCCATCCCGGGATTACTACCTGAACAAGTCCGCCAACGAGAGGGTGAGGCTGGGCGCCAGGCACCCTACTGGCAGCAACTGGGGGGAAACCCACAGCAATGGGGTGCGCGCAGTGCTGGGGCACACCTGGCACCTGCACCCTGCCCATCGAGGTGGCACAGTGCCCAGGCACGGTGCCCAGGCAGCAGGTCTGAACTCCCCGGGGAGGTGGGATGAGCTGCAGCCAGGGCTGAGCTGGGGCTTGGGGTCCCACCAGGTCCTGGCAGCGTACCTGGACTACATGGTGGAGCTGGGCACGCTGCTGGGGGGGGCCCCAGAGCCCACCCGCCTCCAGATGCAGCAGGTACTGGACTTCGAAACCCAGCTGGCCAACATCACAGTGCCCCAGGCTGAGCGACGGGATGACGAGAAGATCTACCACAAGATGAGCATCGCCGAGCTGCAGGTGGGCATGGCACGGCACAGCCTGGGGAAACCCTCTGGGGGTGCAAGGAGGGGTTGTCCAGTGGGGCACCGAGGGGTCCATGCCAGCTGCTGCCCCTCCCCAGGACACCCTGGACAGCCCCATCTGCTGTGGGACATGTGCTGGGTGCTGGAGTGAGGTGTTCATCCCCACGGTCATTAGGATTTGGGGTGAGCTGCCACCCTGCAATGGGGGTTCCCAGGGTCCCCTCCTTGTCCTGCAGCATTGAGAGCAGCAGGCAGCCACGGGAAGGGTTTGGGTCAGAGAGGGGATTTGGGGTGCTGAGGGACCTCAGGACCTTCCCAGGTGGCACAGCCCTTGCCCCAGGGCATCCTCCCATGATGGGCAGGATGGGGCAGAGTCATGCCAAGCACCTGGGTGCTGCATCCCCATGTCCCCCCCAGGCTCTGGCCCCTGCCATCGACTGGCTGGATTATCTGTCCTACGCCCTGGCCCCGCTGGAGCTGGCCGACACAGAGCCCGTGGTGGTGTATGGGGACACCTACCTCCAGCAGGTCTCCGACCTCATCAACAGCACCGACAGGAGGTGAGGCACCCGTGAACCCCCTCTGTGCCCCGTTTGGGGTTTTCCCAATGGTAGCGGCATATTTTGGGCTCACCAGTGGCTGGGGCGTCCCCCGTGGACCACGCCCGTACCAAGACATGGCATCTCTCTGCCCCTGCAGCATCCTGAACAACTACCTGATCTGGAACCTGGTGCAGAAGACGGCCTCCAGCCTGGACCAGCGCTTTGAGACAGCCCAGGAGAGGCTGCGGGAGACAATCTATGGCGCCAGGGAGGGCACAGGGG